TATATATATTGGATGCAGTCCACGCCCCAAGGAAACTCTCCTTTCAACTGATTGGCTGCTCACATCAGATCAGTAAATAGATCTGATCTGGTACATAATATCTGCCAGACCACTGAGAATCATAGTCCAGCCTAGTTGACACATAACCTTAACCATCACAGATACAACGTGGTGCCATGTGAAGCACACAGCATCAACTCTGAACTTGTTAGTAATGCTGAATCTTACGGATGTATTGAATCAGAGTCTATTTTCTTTAAAAAAAATAGGATTTGTGATATTACTTTCAGCTTGAGAAGCACTGGCCAATAAAATATTATTAAAATAACTGTTTACCAGAACCAAATCAAGTCATTACATGTATCTTTCAGTCTATGAGAAATACAGAAGGTAAATGATACCATAAGAAAAGATTTAGACAGATCCAGAATGAGACATTCTACAGATGTCCAGTTCCTAGGGAAGACAGTGCCATGGGGATAAAAGCAGGGATTGCACTGGATTTTGTAAAAAGATTAAATATACATGATCTTGATTTGATACTTATTATGGATTAAGTTGTACCTGGTACTGTAGGATCAGCACTAGACTGGTCGTCTTGAGGTTGGCAGTTAGAATCCACCAACTGCTCTCAGAAATCTATACAGGATCGCTCTGAGTCAGAATTGAGTTGATGGCACACAACAACAACAAAAATATGTATGTTGGAATCCTAACTCCCTCCTGGTATGATAAACACTGGACTGCTAATCACTAGGTTGGCAGTTCAAACCCACCAGTTGCTCTTTGGAAACCCAATATAGGGTCGCTTGATGGCACTTAACAACAACATACCAGTGGATGTAATTCTGTTTGAAAATAGGGCTTCTTTTGTGTTTAGTGTGGGTTCTAAATCTAATCACTCCAGAGACACTGAAAGAGCAGATTAGAGACATGCACACACAGCAGTAAATGGATGTGAAGATCACCAGGAGGAAGCCAAGGAACATGGAGACAACCAGCAAACAAGATATCAATTGTGCTGAGACACTAATGTAGACTTTTTGCCTCAGAAGTGTGAGAAAGTAAATTTCCATTCTTTAAAGTCACCCACTTGTGGATGAAGGAAACTAAGGGCAAGCCATTGTCAATAAAACCAGTAGGAGACACTGGAGAGTTTGAATATGACTGGATAGAAGGTGATATTAGAAATTATTGTTAATATTCTTTTTTTTTTTTTAAGGTTTTTATTGTGGATTGAGTGAAAGTTTACAGGGCACATCATCAGTTTCACATTCAACCATTCATATGACTTGTTTCATTACATTGATTATAATCCCTTCCATACATCATCAGTTAACATATTGTTAATCTTAAGTGTAAAAATGATTTTGAGGTTATAAACAGAATGTCCTCATTCATAGATCAGTGATAAATGTTTAGGGCTGAATAATGATGTCTGCAACTTACGCAGATATATTGTATTAATATTTATATTCATACATTCCATGTTCAGATTATTAATGGATATTTACAGCTGTTTCTCCTAATTTTGAGTTGTGTCCCATCAGAAAATGAAGGTCCTGAAAGCTCTTTATTGCTGTGATATATTTTATTTTGCAACTTCACTATAATATATTCTACCATTCATCTGTCATTTTGTCCTACAGTGGTGGCTTGTGTGTTGCTGTGATGTTGGAAGCTATGTCTCAAGTATTTTAAATACCAGCAGGGTACACCCATGATGGTCAGGTTTCAACTGAGCTTCCTGACTAAGACAGACTAGGAAGAAGGAGAGGTAGACTTGTTCTTAATATTTAACCACTGAAAACCTTCTGAATAGCAGTGGAACACTGTCAGCACCAGAATATTGAATATTGAAACATGATGAAGAGCACCAGAGTATTGTCAGATATAGTGCCGGAAGATGAGCCCCCTAGGTTTGGAAGGAACTCAAAATATGACTAAGGAAGAGCTGCCTCCTCAAAGGAGGGCTGACCATGAACTGCTAGAAGAACAAACAAATCTGTGTTGGAAGTACAACCAGAATGTTCCTTCGAAGCCAGGATGGTGAGACTTTATCTCTCATCCTTGGGACATATTATCAATAGCGACCAGTTCCTGGAGAAGGGTGTCATGCTAGGTAAGTAAAGTGTTAGTGCAAAAGAAGACCCCAAAAGATGGATTGTCACAGAGGTGGCAGCAATGGGCTCAAGTTTAACAACGATTGTGAGGGTGGTGTGGGACCAAGCAGTGTTTCGTTGTGTTGTGCATAAGGTTGCTATGAGTTGACATTGACTGGTTAGTACTAACAACAATGGCAGCAATACAATATATGATATCACAATAGCTAAAGTCTTCTAGTAAAATAAGTGGCTAGGTCCTTGTCAGTTGTTGAGTCAGCTCTAAGTCATTGCCGGCTCCCACACAATCTATCTCCATGATCTGGTATGTTTGGGCCCATTGTTCTGACTTCATGCCCATCGATCCACTTCATTGAGGGCTTTCCTTGCTTTCACTAATTCTTTCTAGGTAAATAGATAAGTAGGTAAATGAGCAGCCAGGATGATATCATACACATTGCATATGTATTGAAAGAAAGAGCCCAAATAAATCACTAAGAGTGATTTATCTGTTGATGATCCCTGATATGGAACTGGGGGGGGGGGGCACTTTTCCAAGTATTTTTTGCTTATTTGTGTAATTGAGTGAGGGTTAATGGCATCATATTATTAACACACAAACCCATTGTTTTTACTCCTCTTGCTAGATGTACAATAAGCCCTAGCGGCACAGTGGGATAAGTATTGGGCTGCTACCTGAAAATGTTGGCGATTGGAACCCACCAGCCACTCCATGGGAGAAAGACATACATAGTCTGTTTCCAAAAAAAATTTACAACCTCGGAAACTCTATGGGGCATGGCAGTTCCACTCTATCCAACAGGCTCACTATGAGTCAGAATTGACTTAATGGCTACAGGTGACCAGACTGTGCAGAAGCGTGTGTGGATAACGTGCACGCACACACATTTAGTCTCTGGAATTCAGGAGGGTGTGGCTAGGAGAGGAGCTGCATTTCAGCCTTCCAAGGACCAGGAGCCTGAGGATCCATGGGATTTCTGAGGGGTCCAGGTTGGGGGCACCTGCCCTGTAGAAGATCCACACATGAGTCTGAGTGGGATGGGTCCATCATGGGTCAGGGGTTGGAAAGTGAAGCCTTGGTTTCTGGGAGAGGGTGGCAGAGCAGAGTCCAAAGTCACTGGTTTATGGCAGCTCATAAAAACTCAAGGTGGACCAGGCCCCAGTGAAGGTGGGGATATAGGAACTGCACAGCAAGGAGGACCTTACAGAATAAAAGAGCCCCCTAAAGGTGCCAGGGTCTCATCTGTCCTGGAGGACCCAAAATGTGAGCCCTTGGCCCTGCATCCCTGATTTTGGGGCTTTTAGAACCCTGGAACCCTACTCCAGCACACATCACTTCCCCAAAGGAGGAGGGCAACAGAGCCTCATTCTCGGGTTGGAAGGAGGGCATACCCCTGCCTTCCTAGGTCTATGATGATCACTTGTGATGACAGCCTGCGTCCAGGGCAGAAACCAAGGTCATCCCCTGGGTGCGGGCTCAGGAACAAGGGTGGGGCACATCTGGCTGCAGCTGTCAGCCTGTTGCTGGGCTCTGGGCTCCCAGGGACCTGGCTGGCACCTGCTTCCCCATCCCCCTCCCTCCTTTCTCCCTCTCTAGGGCCCTATCTTCCCTTATATGGTGAAGGCAGTGCCTAGAGGAGGGGGGGTGAGGACAAAGGTCGCTTTCCTGTAGCCAGTTTACCACAACTCCCGGAGATCTCTCAGGTGGCAGCTGCCTCTTCCACGCAGGTAAGGCAACCTTAGGGGCACAGGGGATCATCGACATAGGAGGAGGGTACAGGGTCCCTACTTCTTGATGCCAACCAGGGTCCTCCTGCAGTGCCCTGCCTAGCATGGGTGGGAGGGAGAAACTGGGCACACTGCAGAGCCAGGGCTGAGCAAGGAGTGGTGTTTGTGTCGAGCCTCCAAGCCCAGCCTGCTGCTCTTTCTGGCCCCCACCCATTTAAGGTGGGCTGAGGAAGATTCTGGGACATTAAAATTAGAACTGTCCCAGGCAAATTGGGACTAGTTGGTCACTCTCATCTACTTCCCCCCCACACCCACACCCCCGGTCTTTTCTCATTTCTCCTGCATCTGAAATGGTGTCTTTCTTTGTATTGCCTGGACAATCCTGGTACCTTCAGGTCTTCCTGGAGCCCTGAGTGTGAGGAAAAAGCCATGAGGAATTGAATGGGCAGGGGTGGGGATTGGTGAAGGCAGGGCCTTTTGGTCCTGGGCCACACCTCACCACCCTAACGTACATCTCTGCCTCATTGGCCTTCTACCAGACTTTCTCCCTGGACTTGCCTCAGGCCTTCCCAGTCCTCTACTGCCCATTCATCTGAAATTGGGATGGGGATTGAATGGGAACCCAGGCCCGACCAGGATCTTGGGACTGAAAGGAGGCTTGTTCTGGTGTCCTTTGGGACCTGGAGGGCAGAGTCTGTGGTACAGGGCTGGAGGGCCCGGGGGCGTGTCCCCTCCCTTTGCTCTTAGGGGACAGTGACTCAGGAGAATGTCCTGTATTTAAGTGGCTGAAACCTCTACCCCACACTGACTCACCTTCTCCCTGCCTAGCTCAGAACTGCAGGGAAGGGGGAGTGAGGGGCCCGTGTGCCCCCCCAGCAGTTCAGCGGAGATAGAGAGCTAGGAAGGACCCCCCCATACACACAGGGTAAGGGAAAAAGCATCTGGTGGGCATCTATGAGGGGGTCACCACCTCCTCTTAGAGCCATGCCTCCCAGGTCTTCCTGTCCACTTCCTCCCTATGGAAGCTGTTAGAAAGCCCTCAACATAGATTTCTCTCTAGGGAGAGAGAGGTCGGGCTTTTTCAAGCCCCTACTGCCCTGAATCCCCCTCTAATGGGCAGAAACTGTTTCCTCATATCTATCCTCTATTCCTCTTGCTGCTGGTTCATTTCTAGACTCAGAGCATGTCCTTAGGGGTGACTTTAAGGGTCATCTAGTTGACCCCACAATCTCACAAAGAAATGGGGATCTGCTTTACATAGCTAGCGGGTGTCACAAGGGATCTGTCTTGGGCAAAGGGGAACATAGTGAAAGGTGGAGATTGAAACAAAACAGAAAACCTTCTCCTCCTTTGTACCCAAATTGGATCTGCTGAAGCAGGTGTCCTGCGGGGCCTGGTGTGTCTTCAGGTGAAAAAAGAACACCTGAGGCCAGAGGTGATGGCCCCAAACAGGCAGCAGGTATACAGTGCTTCCTACTGGTGAACAGCACAGGGTAGGGAATGAGCTAGAGGTTGGCCAGAGAGGCCTTGTCCCCAAACAGAATGTCAGGGCTCAGCAGAGTGAGTTTCCTAGCAGGAACAGGGTAAGCCATTCTTCCAAAAGGTGACTCAAAGTCAAGGTGCAAAGCGAGATTATATAGAGTGATTAGGGCTGTCAGTGTGGGAAACATAACCTTTCATCATTATTTATCAGTTCAAGGAACATTCTGGAGGGCAACTCCGGGGCAGGAGGGTGGTAGGCTCCCCGGGAATAGGGTGGCCACCAACTTGGTCAGTGAAACCCTGGATGAGGGTAAATGGAGGCCAGGGGTTCTCCCTTCTGCTTCCTTTCATTATCACTGGAGAACTTTAAAAAACCACCCAGCTGCCACCCCCTAAAAGTCAGAAAATAAAGGACCCATGCCCGGGCCCCACGCCCATCAAATTAAGCTGGAATCTCTAAGGGTGTGGCCTGGGCATCCCATGGGAACATTAGCATGTTTTAAAGTTCTCCAGGACATTCTGATGAGTAGCTGATAGTGACTACTGTGAAAGAAGTCAGGAAAGAGCTGAGCCCACAAATGAAGCCTGGGGAGAGATTTCTTCTGACTCAGTGGGTGGAGGCTGGTTCCCAGTGGGCAGGTTCAGTCTTTGCCATTCATTCATTCATTCATTCATCTGGCCAAATGCCAGCACTGTACTAGATGCTGGGGGTTGAATGTGAATAAGCAGACCTGGTCCCGACCTTGTGGGATTTACATTTTGTGGGCCACCACAAAAATGCTGGTGGGGTCTTTAGGGGTAACTGAGAAGTAGGGAGCAGGAAACTGATGCATACACTTTGTTTTTTTATCGTGGTAAAAGAGACATACCATCAATTTACCATTTTAACCATTGTAATAAGTGTAATTCAGTGATATTCAACACATTCTCAATGTTGTGCAACCACTATCTAATTTCATCACCCCAAAAGGAAACCCCATACTCAGTAATAGTCGTTTCTCATTCTTCCCCTCTTCCCAGTTCCTGGCAACTACTAATCACTTTCTGTCTATTGTTGTTGAGTGCTGTTGAGTTGATTCCGACCCATAGCGACCCTGTATAGGGTTTCCGAGGAGCAGCTGGTGAGCTTGAACTGCCGACCTTACGACTCAAATGGCTTTGCAGTCTGGCACATTAGCCCACAGCGCCACACCCTATTCTGGACATTTCATTTAAATGAAAGCATGCACTATGCAGCCTTTATGGCTGTCTTTCAGTTAGTATAATGTGACCAAGGCCCCCTCATTTCTTCTCATGGTTGAATACTAGTTCATCTTTGCTTATCTATTCATCCATTGATGAACATTTGGACTGTTTACACCTTTTGGCTATTGTGAATAGAGCTATTTCATTTGTGTACAAGTTTTTGTTTGAACACCTGGTTTCAATTCTTTTGGGTACATACTTCAAAGCCCTTATTAACTCTTTGTTTTCCCCACCCTTTTTTATATGCTTCCCCCACACTCTTATATTTATATATATATAAATGCTATATATTTTTTAACCAAGTGTGACTTTGATTAAAAAAAAAATTACTCAAAAAGAAAAATTGTTTGGGGCTAGATAAAACAAAAGGGACTGGAATGTAGGGTTTTATTCAGCAGGTGATAGGGAGCCAAGGTAGATGTTTGAGCAAGGTGGGAGGTGGGAGGCTGGCTGGGAAGGTGGGAGGCTGGGCTCTCAGACAATCAGAATGGGGTGCTAACCCTTATCATCTCCCCTGAGCATGTGGTCTCCTGGTACATGGTAGGAATTTTCTAGATTGTGCTAAAGGGCAGCCCCAGCAACCAGGTGCCTCCAGCATTTCAATCCTTACTCCCATACGCTTCTACCCCAGGCTCATCCACAATGGCCACTCTGAGTACCCAGGTCAAAAGCTCTCTCAACATCACCACTCCGGGGCTGCAGATATGGAGGATAGAGGTAAGCCCCTGCCTGCAGATTTGGGACAGTGAGGAAAGGAAGAGGCCTGGGATTACATTTTTCCCCTCCAGACCTGCCCTGCTGGCACGAGCCAGAGCCATGTGCTCCTGGTACCTCCTACCCAAGCTCCACCCTTGTCTCCCTGCTTGTCTTCCCCTCTGCATTCCCTGCTCTTGTTCCTCCTCCTTTTCCTGTGCTTTCTCTTCTCTGCATTTGCTGCATACCTTTCCCCCTCTTAGATGTGTCTCTTGTCTATCAACCTTCCTATCCATGCCTTTTTCTTTCACTTTTTATAGCGACTTATTTCTTAAAAATTACAATGATAACAAACATAAAGTTGTTCTGTACAAATTATATAAAACAAAAATTGAAAGTAGCATGAGTATTCTATTTTTTTTTTTTTTTTTAATTTTAAAGGCTTTTATTGTGACTTGAGTGATAGTTTACATGGGGGAACATCATGTTTACACTCATCCTATCATATCTGTTTCATTGCAATGATTACCATCCCCTGCATGCTTCATCATTTGCTTCTATTCCCTCTTTTTTGGTTGTTTTGGATATGCACCAAAACACTCAGGAATATACAAGCATCAAAACAGCCAAAGGGCTCACTCTGCAAGCTTGACCCTGGCTGCCAGCACACATTTCCTCTCCCTCCATGAGTCTAGAGTCCTCAGCTGCTCTGTCTCTCTATGTCATCATCTCTGCCTCCATCTCTGGGGTAGGGTCCCACACTGAGTATTCGAATTTTTAATCACAATTATTAGAAACTTTTTAAGGTTACTGTATAGTCATCAAGGTAGCCTCTGTCTTTTGGTGACCTCATGCCCGGTGGGATTGTACCGCTGTGATCCACAGGGTTTTCATTGGCTGTTTTTGTTTTTGTTTTTTTTTACAAGTAGATCACCCAATCTTTCTTCCTAGTCTGTCTTAGTCCAGAAGGTCAGCTGAAACCTACTCAGCATTAGAGCAAAGCTTCCATTGACCCATGGGTGGTGGGTGTACATGAGCTGCAATGACTGGGACTCAAACTCTGGTCTCCTGAATGAGGGTGTAAATTCTACCACTGAGCCTCCACTGTATCTTCTAGGGTATAATTGTTGTTGTTAAGTGCCTTTGAGTCAGTTCCGACCCATAGTGACCCTGTATAGGGTTTCTGAGGAGCGGCTGGTAAGCTTGAACCGCCAATCTTGCAGTTTAAACCGACTGGTAGTCCAGTGTATTAACCCGCAGTGCCACACCAGGACTTCCTAGGATTTAATAGCTTATTGTGAAAAAGTTATACCCTTGTTTTCATGGAAGCAAATGTTGGATCAATACAGACATACTCCAATATTTGTTTCTTATTAAAGAAATAGTAATGGTTGGATTACAATCATATCACATGGTGGACTTTTTGTTCTCTTCGTTTATCTGTTTCTTTCCCTGCTTTCATTTCTTTTTCTCCTGCTTTTCTTGTGGTGTTCCTTCTTTCTTCTTCCTTTCCTTCTTCCCTTGGTTCCTGCTCTTTTCCTTCGTCCCCCACTCTCATCCATCTTTCTGGTCAGTTTCTCTGTGCCCTCCTCCTCCCTGTTCACTACCTCTCTCAACTATTCCTGTGAGCTAGGGGGACCAGGCTATAGGGTCCTGAGCAGGGGTAGAGCAGCCCCCAACCTTCCTATCTCCCTAGGCTATGCAGATGGTGCCTGTTCCTTCCAGCACCTTTGGGAGCTTCTTCGATGGAGACTGCTACGTAGTATTGGCTGTGAGTGTGGGGCTGACAGGGGAGGGGGTCAAAGCCCACTCATCCACTGGTGTCAGGCTGGGTTGGAGGGAGTGCTGGTCTGACTTCACCCCAAGACAGTATTCACTGGATGTGACGGGGTGCTGGCCTTGGACTGGCTCTGCAGGAGTCAGGGATGAAAGAAGCCCACCTTGCCTTTGACCCACTGAGTTCCCTTCTGAGGTCTCAGGGGACATTCTGGGTGTCACCTTAACTTGAGCCCACATTTCCAAAACCCTTACTTATCTTCATATCACCGCCTTGATATTTGTCACATCCTGGCACCACCGGTACTATTAAATCATTTGCATTTTAACTTATATTAACTCACTTGTACGTTTCAATACATTTACTTAAAAACATAACTCCCATATTATTATTGTGAATGGGTATCTGTGCCACGTGACACAAACAGAAAGAAGCTATAAAATATTTATACTATTGTTACATCAGATACATGTGTTTGTATGCCACCTTGTTAACTCACATAGCTCTGGTGGACCATGCACACCATTAGAAAAGGATCATCCAACCAAGTTATTTCCAAGATGAGAAGAGTGAGGCCCAGAAAGTGCTGAGTCCGCAGCAGACTGGGTCAAGACTCAGGGTCCTGACTGCCCGTCTGGTGGGTTTTCTTGTACCACGTTCATGGTGGTCCAGGACCCACGTGGTGTAGGAGACCTTGTAAATTGGAGAGGGGGGAATGGCCATGGAAGTCCAGGACTTCGGGTCCACTCAGCACCCCTTTCCTCTAGATCCACAAGACAGGCAGCAACACATTCTATGATATCCACTACTGGATCGGCCAGGCCTCGTCCCAGGATGAGCAGGGGGCGGCCGCCATCTATACCACACAGATGGATGACTTCCTGAAGGGCCGGGCTGTCCAGCACCGTGAGGTCCAGGGCAACGAGAGCGAGACCTTCCAAGGCTACTTCAAGCAGGGTCTTGTGTACGGAGGGCCGGGGAGCTGGAAGCAACACTTTGACTGGGAGGGGCACAGAGACTAGAGTAGGGAGGCAGGGGTCTGGGACTGAGTTGAGGAGGTACACCCAAGTCTGGGGGCCAACATGAGCAATGGGAAGTGATGCAGTGCCAGGAAGGGAACTTAAGATTGTGGTAGAAGCCTGTGAGTGGGTCCCACATGGCTCTGTTGCTGTTCCTCACCTATCACTCCCTGGCTTCATGTCTGCCTTGTCCTCGGCTCTGGTCTTGAATGTGCCCTTGTTTGCCTCCAGAGGCTGCTTTGAAATGTGTTCACCTCAAATTTTCTTCCATAATCAACACCTATTTGAATATTTTGGAGAGCTGTGTCTAAGGAAGTCCTTTGGGCCATTGCATGGAGTCCTCATCTGGCCAACAGCAAATGTTTGTTCCCTGTTTCTTTAAAACTGACATTTCAGACTTAGAACCCAAATTCCCACCTTTTCTTGAAAAGTCTGAAGTTATGGCCTCCCATCTTCCCAGTGGAACTACAGTCTGAAGCTGTATTTCCGGAGCTGTCTGCCCACCAGTTAGCCACAGTCCTTACCCCTCCCTATTGTATTGCCCTTACCTATTCCGTACTTACAACAGTCCATTTGAGTTGGCACATTTCCTTCTTATCCTTCTCTTCAATCCCCTGCTCTTAGGGTACTGTCTTTATCCACACTTCCCACCCTCCCCGTTACCATCACCCCCCCACCCCCCCACCCCGTTCCCTTAGCAGATCTAGACTATAGGGAGGTGATTGAGGATTTGAGGGTGCAAACTTTTAGGTTCCCTGGGTCATGGGAGTGCATACAACAATGACCATGAGAGAGTGACTCCTCCAAGTTAGCATTTCTCTGACCACCTTGCCCTCATCCCAGCCCAGGTCTGGGAGGGCAGGGGCCTGCATGCCTCCCTGGATCAGTTCACATCTCTCCTCAGCATCCGCAAAGGGGGAGTGGCTTCCGGCTTGAAGGAAGTGAAGACCAACTCCTATGACATCCAGCGGCTGTACCATGTCAAGGGCAAGAGGAACGTGGTGGCCGGAGAGGTAAGCATCCTCACTGGAGATGGAGGGAGGGGTCTTGTGCCAGGGCGTTGGGTGTGACCTCACACTCCCACCTGGAAGACAGAGGGCAGAGACTGAGAAGGGGGAAGAGCAAGGAGAGGGTGGGTGGCAAAGGGATGATAGACGGTGGATGGGATCTGAGTGGGGTCAGTACCTAATTCCACTCTGGCTCCCCAGGTGGAAATGTCCTGGAAAAGTTTCAACCGAGGGGATGTTTTCCTCCTGGACCTTGGGAAGCTTATCATCCAATGGAACGGACCAGAGAGTAACCGCATGGAGAGACTCAAGGTAAATTCTACCACGCTTGTCACCTGCCAATGCAGATCCAGTCAAACTTGCCAAACTCCTACATGTCCCACTGGGACTCCATTCTCTCTGGCTTCTCCCCGTTGACTTTGTGGGAAGGTAGATGTGAGGGTTTATATGTAGGTGGGGGGAGAGTATGCTTGTAGGAATTTACTTGTGGGTGCCAATCAGTGCAGTAATCCAGTAAGATTTATTGAGTCCCTGCTGAGTGGATGCTACAAACGGTTAACTACTCCACTACTAGTCTAAAGGTTGGTAGTTCAAATCCACCCAAAGGCACCTCAGAAGATAAGCCTGCTAAGCTGTTTCTCAATGATCACAGCCTTGAAAACTCTATGGAGCAATTCTACTCTCCACACACGGGGTTGCCGTGAAAAAGAAGCAACTCAGCAACAAATAACAACAAAAATTGTGTGGCAGACCCTGTGCCAAGTGCTGGGTGGATGAGATAGGCACAAACTGGAATAACCAGAGAATTATGGGACGGGAGCATGATACTAGGGGTTCAGGAAAGGTTTCTGGGAGGAGGTGGAAGGGACAAGGCAGGAGAGATAGTGGTTGGCCAGGGGTCTGCCAGGAGGGTGGACAGGTCTCATAGAGGCAAGTCATAGATGGCTGTGGTTGGGCTTTATTCTCAGGGCAGCCAGTTTTAACTGGTTAGGGACATGGTTTAATCTATAAGATCATTTTGATTCCTTAATGGAGATGAGGTGGGGGTAGCAGATTAGGGGAAGTGGGGGCTCCTGTAGCCATTCCCAAGGGGGTGGGGTACGCAGGCTCAGACATGACCTGTGGAATCCACAGGACTTCCTTGTGTGTTGAATGAGGAACTGAAGAGGAAAAGAGTGAGGGACAGATGGGAGTCCCATTTCCTGAGAGGACAAAGATCAAGGAGCAGCAGATTTGGAGAGAAAATTGGGAGTTCAGTTTTGGACATCTTAAAATGACATTCTTTTTGGAAGTTGAATAAGCAAAATAAGAGTTGAGAGCTGGGCTGGAGACTGCAGTGTGGGCATTGACGTTCTAGAAAGGCATAAAACATGCCAGGAACCCCTGGATGGGAGGGTAGAGAGAGAAGGGAACCTGTATAATAAAAATCAGGCTGAAAACGGTGATGGAGCATCTGTGTGAGAATGCGTGTGTGAGGATCTGTGGAAGTATGGTGCATGCACATGCCTTGTATTTGTGAGCACAAGTGAGACTGTGGGCTCTGTGTGTGTGTGTGATTGTGTCTCTGTGTACCTATATGTGAGCATGTATAAGACGGTGTTATGTGTGCGAAGGGAAGCAGGGCAGGTGCTTCAGCGCTTGGGGTTACTACAAACTGGACTTGGGCTCTCCCAGCTTAACTGGGGGAGTAGATGCTGCCATGTTCCTACCAGCCTTCATGGGTCCCCTGGGGTCTTTTTCCTACAGGGTATGACCCTGGCCAAGGAGATCCGAGACCAGGAGCGGGGTGGGCGTGCCTATGTGGGCATAGTGGAGGGGGAGAACGAAAATCAGTCCCCACAACTGATGGAGGTGATGAACCACGTGCTGGGCCAGAGGAAGGAGCTGAAGGCAGCTGTGCCTGACACGGTGGTGGAGCCGGCGCTCAAGGCCTCCCTCAAGTTGTACCAGTAAGTGCCCGGCTGGGGGACTCACTGGGGCATGGCCTCCTGCTGAGAGATTGGATGCACCCTCCAGCCCCCTCCCACACACTATGCCTTGTCTTTGTCTTGCAGCGTGTCTGACTCAGAGGGCAAACTGGTGGTTACAGAAGTTGCCACTCGACCACTCACACAGGACCTGCTTAATCATGAGGTGGGCCTCCAAGTCTCAACTAACCCAAGAAATTTCAGCTGGCTGGGGTAGGCATGGGAAGGCAACAGTCCAGTGCTTACCCTTCAGTGCCACATGGACTCCTAGGATAAGCACTAGACTGTGAACCACAAGGTCAGAGGGGCAAACTCCACCAGTTGCTCCTCAGAAACCCTGTGAAGGGTCACTGTGAGTTGGAACTGACTAGATGGCACTTAACACCAACAACAAATATGTATACACATATACTTTTATTGTTGAAAATATACATAGTTTTTACCATGTATATTTAGATTCAACATATATCAATTAATATATTATATATCTCTTTATATATATTGTATGGATATTTATGTACATGTACCATATTGCTGGAGTCCTGATATGGCGCTGTAGGATAATGCACTGGACTGCAACATCAGTTTGAATTGTAAGGTCAATGGTTCAAACTCACCAACTGCTCCCAGGAAACCCTATACAGAGTCACTATGAATGGGAACTGACTTGATAGCTCTTAACAACAGCAACCATATTGCTGTATATATTTATATACATATACAAATCCAATAATTTCTCCATGTTCTACTCAGTTATATTGAGTACATTCTCACTATTTTTTCCCAAGTTATTCCACCACCATTAAAAAGGCCCTAAGCTTCTCATCTGAGGAGCTCTGGTAGCGTAGTGGTTATGAATCGGGCTGCGAACCTTAAGGTCAGCGGTTCGAAACTACCAGCCGCTCTCTGGGAGAAAGATGAGGCTTTCTACTCCCGTAAAGATTTACACCCTCGGAAACCCTGTACAGGGTCGCTTTGGGTCGGAACTGACTCGACGGCACTTAACTTAACAACAAGCTTCTCATCTAGCCTTTTGAGTTGACAATTTGATCACCTATGTATGGATAGCTGAAGAATCGATGCATTTGAGCTATGGTGTTGGAGGAGAATATTAAAAGTACCATGAAGTGCCAAAGAACAAACCGGCTTGAATGCTCCCTGGAAGCCAGGATGGCCAGACTTCATCTCTTATACTTTGGATATATTATCAGGAGGGACCAGTCCCTGGAGAAGGACATCATGTTTAGTGAAATGGAGGATTTGAGAACAGAAGAAAGACCCTCCCCCCAATGAGATGGATGGCAACAGTGGCAGCAGCAATGGGCTCAAACATAGTAACAATTGTGAGATTGGCACAGAACTGGATAGTGTTTCATTCGGTTGTGTATAAGGTCGCTATGAGTCAGTACCGACACTATGGCACCTAACAACAACAACAACAACATGGATAATGATTTTAAAGAGCACAAGGTTCAAGATAGACCTTAAGTATGAAGGTAGACATATGGTTTAAAGATGACTTCAGAGGGTAGCTTTGGTTTAAGGTTAAGATGTCAAGACTATCTCAGGGCAGTGGGGTTAGGGGTTGATCCATGATCCAAACTCAAGTCTGGAGTCATGAGAATTTGAAATTCTATTTCACATTCTTCCCTCCCCGCTTTTGATCATCAAGAGACTTTTTGTGTCTCAAACTCGCAGCACCACCAGGGTCTCACCCTGGGCCTTTCTGTCTGACCTCTAGGATTGTTACATCCTGGATCAGGGGGGCCTGAAGATCTATGTGTGGAAGGGCAAGAATGCCAATGCCCAGGAGAAGCAGGGCTCCATGAGCCAGGCACTGGTAAGGGTGAAGGTCAGGGGGGAGGGAGAGGGATGGGAGAGGGAAGACATAGAGACCCCATCAGAGAGAAATAAATTGGGGTTCAGACAGACAGAGGCTGGGGGAGACTCTGGGAAGGGGTGAGGGTCCATTCTGTATAGCCATCTTGGGGCCTCCTCAGGATGTGAGCTCTCACCTCCCTGGACTTTGGACCTGCTTCAGTGGAGGAAGAAATGGAGACTGGTCATTATCTTAGTTCCCAGAGGATTGATCTGGCTTGGGGATGGGGTCACTATTGGGGTGGAGTCAGTAACCCTACCTGGACTGGGTTCAGTGGTAGGTTGGGTTCAGGGCTGGGGTTGGAGATGGAGGGTCAGAGTTATAATTCAGGTGCGGTCAAGTTTGAGGTCAAATTTGGTCTTGGGGCTAGGGCCACAGCAAAATTAGGTTTGGGGTCAACATTGGGATTGGGTTGAGTTCAGATTTGGACTTGGGGCCTGGGTTAGGTTTGACCTTGGGTAGACTAGGGTTACAGTTAGTCTTTGGCTTGTATAGGGGGTGGGGCTACAGAAGAAACATGGGCTCCAGCCACCTCTTTTTATACCCAGAACTTTATCAAAGCCAAGCAGTACCCACCGAGCACACAGGTGGAGGTGCAGAATGATGGGGCCGAGTCTGCCGTCTTCCAGCAGCTCTTCCAGAAGTGGACAGTGCCCAACCGGACTTCAGGCCTGGGAAAAACCCACACTGTGGGCTCCGTGGGTGAGGGCCGGGGGCAGGATAGGAGGGGAACCCAGGACTGGGTTGGACCTGCTCATTCCCTCCCTTCCCAACTCACTTCTTCCATGCAGGCTCTGGGCTCCCCCAGATGGGTAGGGGACACTAGAGGACATGGAGAAACTCAAGAGCTATAAACGGGAGCTACTTATATACTTGTTTTTCATTTGGGATGAGGGTGGGGTTGGCCTCTCTGGGAACAGAGCTCAGTTACTCACTAGACAGTATTGGGTGAGGGCAAACTCAACCCCTGGGGGCATATGAAAGGATATTAAGGAGCTCCCTGTTGAGCTTGGATTCAGCATGGGTGAGAATGTGGGCAGATGCTCACATCTGGCTCCCCAGAGACACTGGGGGTAGGAGATGTTGTTCTGTATTAACACTGTCTCTCTGACCTTGAGTAAGCTATTGAATCTCTCTAACCTCAGTTTGCTCATCTGTAAAATGGGCATAAGAATTGTAGTCACCATTCAGGATTGTTGAGGACCCAAGGGACCAGACTGTAAAGTGCAGGTCAGACAACCAGCACATCTTCAGCTGGTGACAGGTGCTATTATGACTCTTCCCACCCCAGCCAAGGTGGAACAGGTGAAATTTGATGCTGCATCCATGCATGTCAAGCCCCAGCTGGCTGCCCAGCAGAAGATGGTAGATGACGGAAGTGGGGAGGTGGAGGTATGGTGAGGGAAGGGAGGAGAAAGGCATGTTGGGTGGGGTGGGGGTGGTGGAGTTTGTCCTGAACCTCATGTGGCACTGCATTGGACCCAGGTGTGGCGCATTGAAGACCTGGAGCTGGTGTCTGTGGATCCCAAATGGTTAGGTCACTTCTATGGGGGTGACTGCTACCTGCTGCTCTACACCTACCTCATCGGCGAGAAAAAGCATTACCTGCTCTACATCTGGCAGGTCGGGCCCTTCCACCATACCTCTGCTAAGTGGCCATTACCCTTGGGCTGAATACCTGTGATGGTGGGGAGCTCACCCCTCAATAGGCAGTCTGTTCTAGTGGGGGGCTGCTTTGGCTGTGAGACCCCACTGACCTGGAGTACACTCATTCCCAACCCTTTTCCTTTCTGGTTCTCTGAGTTTCTCTTCCTGTTTCCATTATCTCCTGCACACACCCCTGCTCAGCCTTGTGGTGTGAGTTTCTGTATCCAGAAGTGAGGGCTCAGGGAGGGGTTCGGGCTCTGGGGATGAGTGGAAGGGACAGGAAAGGAGTAAAGAGGTTGAGTCCAGGCTGGGCAGCTGGTGGGTCAGAACTGAGACTGGGGAAAGATCAGGTTTGGGGTTGGGGTCAGAGTTGAGGTCTGAGTCAGGTGGCATTTTGTCTATCTCCAGGGTGGGGCTGGGTGAGAAAGACAGGTTTGAGGCCGGAATTGGGAGGATTTATTGCTAAGACTGGGGATGGGGTTGGGTTTGGGGCTGACTCTCTCCTACTTTCCCTTCCTTCCTGCTCCTCCCAGGGCAGCCAGGCAACCCAGGATGAAATTGCAGCTTCGGCCTATCAAGCTGTTGCCCTGGACCAGAAGTACAATGATGAACCAGTGCAGATCCGAGTCCCCATGGGCAAGGAACCGCCCCACCTCATGTCCATCTTCAAGGGACGCATGGTGGTCTACCAGGTATAGCTGCTGGACTGAGATGCCTGGCAACATTCACAACCAACGTGTGGAGGACAGGAGAGTGGGGGATTCTAGCAAGTGGGGAGAGACAAGAGCCCTGTCTGCCGGATGGTTTGTGAGATGAGGGTATGGAAGCATACTGGGGAGAGTGGCGCCCATTCTTGGTAGGAGAGGACTGTCGAAGACCCCCTCACCTAAGTGGAACTACTTACAGAGACCACAATTTAGTCACTTTAAAAAATGCATGTCATAAGCACCTTCTGTGTCCATTTTCAATACACCAACTACTGAGTCCTCTTGAAAAAGGAAGTTTATTTGGGCTAGATTTCCTTAAATGATTCACCCCTCCCAACTGCACTGATGAGTCCCAACATAAAGAGATAGACTTCTCATGCATGCAGTCAATTCATCATCTATTTGTTGAGCAGAAACTAAAAATACACAGCCCTTTGTTAAGCCTCTGTTGTTGTTAAGTGCTGTTGAGTCACTGACTCATAGTGACCCTTTATAAGGTTTCCAAGGAGTAACTGGTGGGTTTAAACTGCCGACCTTGTAGTTCGTAGTTCAGCGCCACACCATGAGCCCTTTGTTGCTGTTGTCAAGTAAGTGTTCTTGAGTCAGTTTTGACTCAAAGCAACCCTATATAGGGTTTCTGAGAAGCAACTGGTGAATTTGAACCAACGACCTTGTAGTTCAAACCAACCTACAGCGCAACACCAGGAGAAAAACGATATGGTGATATTTTTACCATCTTGTTGAGAAAGAAAAGTCACATGGTTGTGCTTGAGCAATCAGACTCGGAGGCACAGAGGGGTTAAGTGTCAGAATGAAAAGTTGAGTTCAAAGGGGAGTGTGATAAGGTTAGAACACCAGTTTTTTGTGTGTGGATACATGGACAGAGACACAGGATGGGAGGAAGAGTTTGACAGAGGATATTTTTACACGGGAAACCACAGGAAGGACACTGACCACTGTTGTTGGGTAGAGGGGAAAGCAATCTTTGAGATGAAACAAAGCATGTAATTTGTTGAATGTAAAACTACTACTGATCTTGGCTGTAAACCTTCACTCAATTCACAATTAAAAAAAAAAAAAGTTAAAAAACAAAGGGGGAGTGTAAACACACTGATCTGGAAATAGACATGAAAATCACAGTGGAAAGAGGATTTAGAGCTGGTCTTGTCAGCAGGTCGGTTAAAGAGTTTAGCAGAAGAAAATGGCTCCTGGGCTGCAGGTCAGAAAGGTCTGGAAAGCTTAAAGGAAGGCTCATGGGTATGAGAAGCCTGGCTTGGCTCACCTGGAGGGCGTGGGAGAGCAGTGAGCCTTGACACTTCCTCTTGTGGACCCTGAAATGTCAGGCTGAGGCACTAGATGCCATGAAGTTGACTGAATCATGGTGACCTCATATGTGTCAGAATAGAACTGTCTTCCACAGCGTTTTCAATGGCTTATTTTTTACAGAGCTAAATTACCAAGCCTTTCTTCTGAAGCTCTTCTGGGGGGACTCGAACCTCAAACTTCTCATTTAGTGGTCAAGCATATTGACCATTTGAACCTCCCAGAGGTGACTTCTGGCTGAGGCACTTGGGTTTATTATTATTATTATTATATAAGCAGAGTCACTGAAGATGTTTGAGCAGAGACAATCATAATTAAAGCAATGTTTTGAAATGATTACTTCTTGCCCATGATGGTGTATCAAAGGAACTGGTGGGTGAAGAACAAAGGGGCACTCTGACCCCACCCGATCCTTTTTCTTTCTGGTTCTCTTTGTGCACCTTGAGCCTCCCCCCATCATAATTTTCTTTACTAAGTTATTCCACTTCCCCCTTTTCCCGGCCTTCTTCCCATATCTTGCAGGGAGGCACCTCCCGGGCTAACAACTCGGAGCCCACGCCCTCCACACAAATGTTCCAGGTCCGGGGCACCAGTGCCAACAACACCAAGGCCTTTGAGGTCCCTGCTCGAGCTAACAACCTCAATTCCAATGATGTCTTCATTCTCAAGACCCCATCCTGTTGCTACTTGTGGTGTGGGAAGGTGTGTTCAGGTCCAGAGGCCCCCTCCCCAAGTGGTGCCTCAAGTAGAGCTGGAGCCGGTCGGGACCCTTCTCTAGCCAGGCCTTAGATGCTTGGCCTGTCTATGGTACACTGGAGTCTGTCTCTCTTGTTTTGGCTCCGGCACCTCTGCCTGTTGGTCTGACTCTATCTCTATACCTGCCTCTATACCTGTCTCTCCATTTACTTTGTGACAAGGACTCTCTCTTGGAGTCCTTCTCTGGCTGCCCTAAGAGAGGGTGCCAACCCTTTTGACTCTGCCATTCTTTGGAGCCTTAAGGACAGAGGGGGTGTGGGAGAATGGGCCTAGCTCAAGGAGCTCCTTCTCAGACTCTAGAGCTCCAGGAAAGGGTAGGGGCAGGAGGTGACACTAGATAGGATCTTCCCAGCCCACCTGGCCCCCTCCTTTTCCCAGGGCTGTAGCGGGGATGAGCGGGAGATGGCCAAGATGGTGGCTGATAACATCTCCCGGACAGAGAAGCAAGTGGTGGTGGAAGGGCAGGAGCCGGCCAACTTCTGGATGGCCCTAGGCGGGAAGGCCCCCTATGCCAACAGCAAGAGGTAACTCACTGGTCCCTCCCAATCTCTCCACTCCCATGTCCAAAGCCTGTGGCATCATGGGCCAAGAACTCCATGTGCCAGGCCCTCGGCGTTACATGATGTGGGGGGTGGCACTGATGTTCTGGAACCTCTTGGGAACAAGGGCTGTGTCTGTGCTGTTCATCAGGGCATGCCTGAAACCTGGAGGTCTTACCTTGTCAAAGGAAGTTCACGGCCAGAAGAGGCAGCTTAGAGAGAGCTGGGTTATAGGTTTGCCCTTTAGGAAGAAGGTTCCAGGGTCATCCCAGTCCCTTTCCTCAGGTGTCAAAACAGGGCCGGTAGGTTAAGATGCATCAGTGGAAAATCCTCTTTCAAAGGGTTTTCCTAAAGAATATCTGTGCTCTGCCTTCTCCAGTTCAAAAGCCTGAGTGTATGCTGCAGTAACGGGATGGAGGGAAATGCCAGAAAGAACTTCCTAACGGAACTGTAGATGAGTCACTAGAATGCAGGTTCTGGAATTTTCTTCCTTGGAGCACTCTTGGGATGAGGGAGAGTATTTTTTTACAATTAGAAGGGAGGGTGTTTTGCTAGGGGTTGGGCTTCTAATTGTGTTGTTGTTTGCCAAAGAAATTTCAACTCACAGAACTGCCCCAGAGAGTTGTCTAGGTGGTAATTCTTAGGGGACTAGGTTGTCAGTTCTTTCTCTCAAGTTGCTGCTAGATACATTTGCATGGCCAACTTTTTGGTTAGCAGTCAGCACTTAACCATTGCACCACCAGGCCCTTCTTTCTTGTTTAGAGTCCCTCCTGGATTCTCCTGTCTCCCACCTGCTTCCCACAGTTATGTCTCCATCCTGCAGGTTGCAGGAAGAAACCCTGGCCATTGCCCCCCGGCTCTTTGAATGTTCCAACAAGACTGGGCGCTTCCTGGCCACTGAAATCCCGGACTTTGATCAGGATGACCTGGAAGAGGATGATGTTTTCCTGCTTGATGTCTGGGACCAGGTAGGATGAGGGCCTGGAGGCCACATCAATCCCCTGGAACAAGAAAGAGCAATGGTCAACATTTCCTTGACCCATACATATTTTCTCCCTGGGAACTATATTATGAACAACAGGAACTGACGAAAGAAGATGAAGGGCAGGGAACATGCCCTGAGGGCATAACCTGGGGGCTATACCAGAATATATCCATCTGGGTATGATATATTCTTCTCCACACAATGAATGTCCAATTTACTTCACGCAAGAGCACTTTAGAGGATCTGGGTCCCAGAGACTTTAGGCATCACAGATTTGCAGACTTTTCAAGTAGAAGGCATCTATCCAACCTCCTCATTTTCCAAAGGCAAAAAAGTCAAGGCCCAGGGCAGATGGGAGCTGCCTAAGTCTGGACTCAACTGTTGGCTGTCAGAGTCTGGGATGGAGTGGGCCAGGGAAAACAGGAAAGACTAGCTGAGCTCCAGGATTCTCCACAGGTCTTCTTCTGGATCGGGAAACATGCCAGAGAGGATGAGAAGGCAGCAGCTGCCACCACAGTGCAGGAGTACCTCAAGACCCACCCCAGCATGCGAGACCCTGAGACTCCCATTATTGTGGTGAAGCAGGGACATGAGCCCCCCATCTTCACAGGCTGGTTCCTGGCCTGGGATCCCTACAAGTGGAATGTGAGTGACCCCTGCCTAGGCCAGCCTTCTCTGTGGGGCTTCTCCTTGGCACATCCATGTCCCTTGTGACGTGTGACCTTCTTATTTGTAGAGAATTAGAGGTAGGGTAAGCACTCTGACTGCTAACCAAAAGGTCAGTGATTCAAACCCAGTAGCCGCTCCTCAGAAACCCTGTACAGGATCTGTATGAGTCAGAACCAACTGAACCACACTTCACAACAACAGCAAAGAGATGACTTGAAGTCCCTGAACAATATAAACAGTTAAAGAATTTGGTTGCTAATGGAGAGATTGAAGGGGTAACTCTACATAAAGCACCTCAAAAGCAAGGTCTGGCAATGACTTCCAAAAAATCAGCCACTAAAAGGAGCTCTGGTAGCGTAGTGGTTACGAATCGGGCTGCGAACCTTAAGGTCAGCAGTTCGAAACTACCAGCTGCTCCGCGGGAGAAAGATGAGGCT